AAACAAAAAACAAATGCTGGTGCGCAATTTTAGGGCCAGTTGTATGAGGATAGATTTAGTAGATGGATTGTACCGGTTGGGTAAAGATTTAACTGGTGAATAGCTCTATTCACTCTTCGTATAACTGGCCTCTGATGTTTTCCATTCGGACTCGTTGTTTTTCCTTCAGAGGACGTACAGCCTTCCGGTCTCGCACAAAGAACTACTTGCTGTACACGTATGCTAGAACTAAACGACAGGTGTCATACTTCAAGTTCACAACAAATTTCCTGTTTTTGCATGCATTATTTAACACTCTKGTCTCGCAGCAAGATAAAGTTTAGCTCAGCAAGCAGSCAAAGAGCWCCTTCATGACTACCCTAGTGTTTTAATTGGTTTTTATAAGCATCATAAAAACATTCTTGACGTAAGACCATTGTTTGTGGTATAATTGGCCTTCTCAAGGGAATATCCATTTATTGACGTTAATAAATATGAAATTGCTCTTTTGAGAAGCGATGATTGCTCTTCTGACCAAGGAGTGATGACGCAGTTTGTGGGTAGGAGATTAAACCTTGATTGCAAGTTACGACAAAGTGCGACATATTGTGGTGTTAACACGTCGCTTAACCTGCTGCCAAGTCGCTTGATGATTTTGTTTTGTTCAGTGTTATTTGTTTTCCTTCTATTTTCCACACAATAAATACTGAGCTTTTCCGTTTTTAGTCAATTTATTATCGTACGTCTTAAGACGTCAAAGAAAAAAAAACAATAATAATAAAAATAAATAAATAAATAAAAAACCTAAAAAAAAATCTCAAGGCCACCAGTACCATCGCATGCTATTGAATTGGAAATCTTTTTAATAAAGATTCTGAATATATAGATTACTATGAGCACTCGTGATGATCTTAAAGTATTTAAAATGGCGCAAACCGTACAACAGTCCCGGACCCGACCTATGCTTGAGACGATTTATCATATCGGAGGGTGAATCTATTAAGAGGTTATGGTATTAGTCTTTTTAACATATGGCTTTTGAACACAATGCGCTGGCTTGATGCTCCAAATTTGTACGACGAAGGACAGTTAGCACTGACTCGATATTGGAAACGAATCCAGAATGGTTGAGAAAACAGTTGACAAATCGGATAWAGTCTTTCGAACAAWACCAAAGCTAAGAACATTAAGTGCTATACACAGGGAGCATTCAAAAAGCAGGACTCGATGTGTGCTTTAGTACTGGAAAACAAGAACAAAATTGAGAAAACGGACTTTAACTGATAGCTTGCAATTTGCTTCTTTTTGGGGACGTTAACGATGCATCCATGCATACACGCCCAACAATGGGATTTATTAAGTAGCACGAACTGCTAAATCCTAAAACGGTATTTTAAAAAGAACGATTGATTAGTTAAGAAGTGGCTTGTGTGTCAGACCAATCAATGAATCACATTCAGGAGTCTTTAGGTTTTTAAAGAATCACAACCAACCGCCGTACCTTTTTGCGAGCCGAAGCGCCAACTTAAAGCGAGCGCAAATCGTCTTCCAACCTTACAGTTCGGACAGAAATATAAATTAAACTAAGTACTTCAAAGGTACTATCAATCTATAATCTATTGTACGCATTTCAACGTATGTAACACAAGGGCGCGCTGTGTTATGGTTTAATAGTTGAGATAGTTTTTTTGAAATGATATCGATTCTTATGTCTGTCTTTGTAGAACCGCCAATTAAATTGGGTAGCATAGAAGTAGGACTGGTCATCATGGGAATGTCTTGTATTTGTGTTGTGGCATGTGCTTTGATTTTTCTTCAACTACGCTCAATAAGAAAGCAACGACAACAACGCAGGCGAAGAGAGCGAGCTTCAATTGTTAGTATCACTGTTTGCAATAACGAAGGCATTGCTAGTGCTGCTCCACCTTCATACGAAACTGGTAAGTTTAATCACGCTCACGGCTCGCTGCTGATTTCTTATAAACTCATGTCATTTTATATTATTTTTTCAGTGTTACGCAACCCACATCTATATCCAATTTCTCCTCGATCGTCCATAGTATCTGTTAACTCTACCAAAAGCTTGCGCCGAGCATCAGAGGCCAGCGGCCATTCTTCCAATGCACGACCAGATGGGAATTCTTCTTCAGGAGCTCTTAGCCAATCATATTGCACTTTACAATTAGAAGACTTAGAGGAACCTCCTCCTCCCTTCCCTGGAATTGTAAATAATGGATTTATAGATCCCCATCTTGAAAGAACCTACTATGATGACATGGACACTGTGACATATGGTAACCATGGTAGCAGAGAAAGAAATCAACGTCTCAGTCAAGTGGAGCCACGTGACTTGCCATATTTGCAAACAAGTCGAAATCGAAGTGTTTCAGATATTTGTGCGTCGACTTCTCGCTCGGCTTCTCAACAATAGCGAACGTCCTTTCTTGAAGTAGTTTATGTGCGGCGATTCCAGCTTTCAGTCACTGAGAGAGTTTCATGGAAAGTTATAGAAGGGTGTGGTAACAATATCTGCATACTTCCAATGGATCTGCCTCTTTACGGCTAATCTGGTGTAAGAACTCATACTTTGAATCTCCAATATTGCAGGAATGGTCGATATAAGACTGTTCTGATTTGTGGCCATGATGAATGATGGTTTTGTATTATAGAAAAGCTGTGTCATTGTAGTGTTTTATTTTGAGATAAGATATTCCTCTTTATTTGTATTTGTGTTTTATTTTTCAATGCTCTCAGTGAAACGAAAAAATAATGGAGTTATCATTTTAGTATGGACATAAAAAATTCCTGAAAGGCTAGATACTTCATTTAAGAAATCTTAATAGTACGTCATTGCAAAATCTAAATAGTATTTCACTTGCAGAAATCTAAATGGTTTTGGTGATCGATCATTGCTTGAAAGAAATAGCAGTCTTTTTTGGCCGCTCGGCCGGCCCTCCCCAATCCCCTTAGGGCCGCTACGCAGACTAGTAAGCCGCGAAGGCTTAAAGCTTGTCGCGTGAGGTATCATGGGTAGTTCAGTCGAAACTTTTGTTTTTGTACTAAAGGAAAAAAGGGACTGGGTCTGATCAAAACCTCATTGGAGTATGGTTACTATAAAAAGGAAAGAAATACAAACAAACAACGCGTGACATGATGGCATATGCTAGGCTTTTTGACAAAGTTTCACGTAATGTTTGAATAAATAAATAAATAAGTTATGAGCATACTGCAAAACATTACGAAATTAAACTTGAGAGTCATGAATTAATGATGTTCCGCTAGACAAGCGTCCAGCTTACAAACATAAAGAACTCTTTGTATTGATCGTTTTCAACCATTTCCAAAGATGAGATTCAAAAGATAAAAGTCCGGCGGCCACGGTGGAGGAATGAACAATAGATACTAATGAGAAATCTTGTTGAAGTTCCTCCCAAGATGACCGCTGTGACCTAACCTGAAAACGAAGAATTTTATAAGATTAACGGTGTTTTTCTGCCAAAATATCACGCATGTATGATAGTCTCCTTCACGGTTCCCTGCGCCATCTTGAAAGGAAGCCGTTTCTCGATCTTTGCATGGAAGCAAGACGATCTTTTTTTTTTTGCAATAAAAAATAATTGTACTGAGGTGCGAAGGTTTCTATCAATGGATGCTCAACGCTCAATCGTCTTGCAAAGACACGGCTATACCTTTCAAGGTGGCATCTGCATTCAGAAACAACACATTTTTAATTCTCTATATGCTTTCTAAAATTGTCACGGTTTTGAATACTCCAAAAGGACATGAATGTTTCATTTATATTCTTCTGTTATAAGTCTAAGGCGTTCACCAAAGGGGGATACACAGAACTGAGGCAAGCAGAAGAAAAGACGGAGAACTGAACAATATATTTGTTTTGTGAACGGAGTCCGTTCTTTATACATCATTTTTTGTTTATTTGGAGCCAGAGCGTCAACACGTGTCCACAGTACGCTTGGTGTCTTTCGGTTTACGCTTTCTAGAGTGGACATTTGTGTATACGATGTGTCCTTAGGGAATATGTGTTCATCGAACAAGTGGTCACTCGCTATTTATGGAGGTAGGTTTATCCACAGTAAAAAGAATTCCGGAAACGAGACTCGTAAGGTCAGAGCTAATTCGGGTGATCGCTCACGTAGCTGGGAAGGCGGCAGGCTGTCCCACCCGCGTCACGATCACTATGCTCAACTTCGGCCTTTCATCAATACTTGCAAGTAGCCAACTAGTTTAGCTCATTGAACGCTCGTATTTTGAGGTAAAAAATACTGCGTTCAGTAGGAAGAGCACCTAACAGAGGTGTCGCAAGTTGGGAGTGAAATAGTCCTGTCGTGGCCTCCTTTCGACCCGCTCCAGGACTCGCGACAGTCCAGTATAACTCGCATGCGCATGTGCAAAACAAGCCAATCAGATTGAGTCACACACCGTAGCGACCGAATRGGTCGAAAGGGAGCCAGGCCTGGACCCGGAAAGTGAAAGGTTGTAAATARTGAGAAATAATGTGCGCACATGCAGAAGATAACACATGAGAGTTCGAACCTTATAATATGTAGTTTATTTTGAATGGTCACCATTTCAAATTAAAATTTTATGCATTTTTAAATTCAAATTTAAAGCTGAGTTCAATAAATGTTCTTATTAAAAGAGGCACCTTCTCGCATTATTAATATATTCACTAACAGTCATAATTTAGCCATAATTTATTCTAATGCAGTCAACTCTCGTTAAAACGAACAATTAAGAACGTCCGCTTTAAAGGGAGTTATTCTAAGCTTTCCTTGGCAAGGTTAGTGTCCGTAATAATAAATGGGTATTTGGAATATTTGGGCGTCCGCAATACGAGAGCTCACTGGAATGCAGACGTTATCTTTTCCACAATATATAAATTACATCATATTGAAATTTTCATAATATCTACGCCCTACACAAAGTAAGACATATCGAAACATTTGCATTAATTACTTAAGCTTTTTCAGCTTGATATCAAAAAATATCTCCAATATATAAAAAAATCGATAATTCTTGATAGGGCCAAGTCATTTGAATTCCAATAATCGACTTAAAAGCCATGTCTAGTGAGTTTATACAACAATAGTATACAGACTATGTACAATATTACTACTTACTATACAATTCATATCCCTAAATATACATAAAACTTTGAATCCTGAAAAAAATCAGTATAAAAATCTACACGTTGTATGAGGGTGGACCAAGGGACTATTTGCATCGTATCCCGTGATGCACCTGAAACATTACACTAARGCGGCCATGTTGAATTATAAAAACAGARGAATTCTATCTTTCACATAAGGAAATGTTCCAATGTTTCTACTATCCGACATGGCGGCCAAAAGGTCCACATATCTAACCTTTTGTATTTCTTATTTATTCAAAATATCAGTATTATTTCCCAGCAAACGTTCGAGCAATGCGGGATGATTTAGTGAATCGCACGCTAAAATGAACGGTTCGGAGAAGACTAGAAGCACGGATCATTTAGTGAATCCCAAAGTAAATTCAAACATCTGTCACAAAACTACTGCATGTATCTTGCCGTTCCAGCATGGGTCTCGACGCTTCATCCTTTGGTAGCCCTGATGGTTCCGATCTGCTTATACTGCTATGTGATTGATCCAGATCTCTCATCCGCTGCCATACTCGTCCAGCCCTCCTTTCACTTTCGGATTTTTCCGTAGGAGAACTGCTTCCAGCTTGGTCACCCTTTGTGATTTTATAACAAAAATAATTTTAATATAAACGTAAAAGAATAAAAATCAGAATACAAACACTCAAATTTTTCTCTAAAATTGTGGCTTTGGCCATGACCAGCGATGACATCTTTCAGCTTTAAAAAAAACGTCCGTTCTCAAAACGATTTGATCAGACATTGTCCTTTGACCGACTCTTTGTTCCCTATATGTGGCTAGTGGCTCGTTCCGAGGCTCAATCCACTATATATACTAACGCATTGTAAGTCGTATGAATATAACCCGGGATAACTTTGGTATCACTCGCTTTTTCTCAGAAAAATTTTCGTAGTTCTTCGTTTACCTTCGTATATTTTTTTAATGCTCTGCAATTGATTATTCTCGAAATTCCAGTGTAAGCGAGCTTAGACTGGAATCTATGTGTAAATTTATTGCCTATTCACAATGTTTCCTTTCCTAGTAACGAGGCTATCCATGCCTGTACTGGAATTTCAAGAATAGTTCAAATGCGACCGTTGGTCAATGTGAATGGGTGGTCGATTACAATTGTTAGTCGAATACAAGAGGTCAACTCACCGGTGCTGTGTTCCTGTGGTATTCAACTGTAAACTGACCATGTATTGGCCGATATCCATGAACAAATCGCACTTGTTCATAAGGGGGTGGAGGTCCGTCTTCATCGGAGTCTTGGTTCGACTCGAGCAGACCGAGCTCTTCGTCGTTCACTTTCGGAAGACTTTCGCAGGTACTCGCTCGGTTATGCTCGACTTTAGTTTGCGGGAACAAATTGGGGGAGTTCATGACTGTAAAATAGAAAACATCAAAATCAAATTCTGAATTTCATGAAAACTCAGTGGCAATGAAAATTTTATAGAAATTCACATTATTGGTTACTATTGGAGAGAAATCACCGGGTTCTCCCTTTTCCCAAACACTGGCCTACAACAAGGAATGAAATCGCTGATTTTAAGGTAGGTATCGCCTTGATCTCCACCAGCGCTATGAGAGGGGGGAACTATAATGCAAATTAGGGGATTTTACCCAGTCTCCCACGGTATGAAATCAGGAAATACCTGCTACATAAGTTGGAGGTGGGTCGAGGTTGACGTCAAATGAGATGGTACTTCCCATCACAACTTGCTGTTCTAGTGCTCGACGCAGTCTTCGTTTTCGCGCATGGAACACAGCCAGAACGCTCAGTACAATGAAGATTATCCCGCATGTTGTACCAATCATAATTCCAGTAAAATGACTACGGCTACTTGAAGGCTGATCTAGAAATGAGCACGTGAAATGGAAATTACAAATCGAAGAAACGACAAATGAATTTCATAAAAAAATACTTATGTTATGTATTGTTTGATGTTTTTTTTCCTTTTTCGTGTGTCCTAATTTTGTATTTTACTATTCTGTTAATTTTTGGCTGTGTGTATCTCCCATTGAGTCAATCTCCTTAACGTTCACTAGAGCCTGTAAAGACAACGTGATGCAGGGAACTAGCGGTAAATTAGTGTGAGCTGCGTCGGTGTTTCTAAAGAAACAGCTGGTCAATAAGATACATTTAACAATGTAAGAAGTAGGTGAAACAACTTACTGACGTTTCGGACGTTAATCCTTTGTCAGTAAATTGTTTCACCTACATTTTACGGACGGTGTTAAATTTATCTTTTTACACAACTGTAAACACAACAACAAAGTCATTTGCATAAAACGGTTTTTGGGATGAGAAAAATGAATACATAATTACTAAGTATTAAAAAGACTACCTTTTTGTTGGTTGTACTCAGAATACACAGCTTCGAATCCTCTGCCGGCATACTTTCTAGAATCGGTGGTAAATATAACACGAAGTTTGTTGGTTTCCGACTTGAACACAGGTGGTATGTGGCCTCCACAGTATCGACCTTTGATTGGTGACCAGCTAGCCAAACCATCATATATCTCTACATAGTCTTGACACTTTTCAGTATCACCTTCAACGT